CCTGAAGTTTTACAAGGAAAACCATTTACTAAAGCATCAGATATTTATTCCTTTGGAATGATTATGTGGGAGATTTCGTCTGGAATTGTTGTATTTTCCGATTATAAAGATGATAATTTAAGATTAGCAATAGAAATTCAAGAAGGCTTGCGACCAACTATTATTAAAGGCACAGCACCATGCTATGTAAATCTTTTGAGGAGATGTTGGGATAAGGATCCAGAAAAATGACCATCAGCTATGGAAATTCATGAGACTATTTTAAATTGGAAAAATACTCCCGAAATTTTATCTGAATTTTTAAAATCTGATAAAGAAACGGAAAATTAAGAATAATAACTTAGATAGTATAATTCATACTACAAAATTTATTAGTTATACTAATCAACAATCGCCTGAATACTTAAATGAAGAAGTTATTTCTAATAATAATATTTATATTAAAGATATTTGAAGGAATTAGATTCTGTTATAGTAATATAAAAAGATTATAATGAATAATAAATTTAACAGAAAGAATACAAAGCATATTAAATAAAGCATATATTTATTAAGAATCAGCCATTAGAGTATGCTAGCAAAAAAATAAAGATGATCGCGAAAGGATCTAAACGGTTCTTGCTAAGCATTATTAAATTGTTATACCGAATATGAAGTTTTTTGTAATAAAAGCTATGGCTCATTAATCTTGCATTTATGTACGGGCACCGTTTAAGTAATTTATGGGACTATAATTTCAAAGAACCAATCGATCATCTTGATATATATATATATTTTTTTAGATTGTATCTTTGTGTAAATGCATTGCTTTAGCATTAGCATCTTCCAAGAACAGTACATGAGCACTTTCTACTAGCGAATAATTCTGGTTAGTAAACATTTATATTGTAACTTTTTTGTGAAATATCAAGTTGTTAAGGATATTACCTAAATTGCATCTAAATTACAGTTAATACAATTTGTTCAAATTGGTTGAAATTGCTAAACAAGTCAAATTTGATTGTTGCACTTCTGAATTAATCACATTTAAAAAATAGTATTATAGTACGGCATTATGGCATTACGGAAATGCAGCTTGCAATTTTTGCGGTATTTAGAGCTATGCATCTGGATAAATATTGGACGGAAATACAAAGGCCTTGGACATTGAAAATATATAACACTGCGATGTGCTACCTAAGTCAAATTCTGAAGGCAATTATAACAAACGAGTCCCAGAGGTTAAAGTAAAATTATACTTCGCAATTTTTTTTCGTTACTATAAGAATTAATGACTATAATCCGAATTGATTCGGTTTTGCAAGTTTATTGCAACTGAAAACCCAAATAATCCAGTTTTTTTTAAAACCTAAATCCGGATTTTATAAATAAACTGGTTCCAGCCCACCCATACTTTCAATTTAAAACCTTGCCAAGAAGTACTGATAAAATTTTTTTTCGTGAAATTTTGGCTTTTCTAATCATTAGCCTTAATTCTAATTCAACTGCACGAATTTTTCTAACGAAATTTTTATTCTTAAATAATGTGCGAAATGTTTTAAACTGGAGATGCTAGACTTATATTTTTCACTTGATTAGCGACGATTGTGTAATTTTTGCCTAATTTTTTTGCAGCGCCTTTTTTGCGAGGCACTCAGGTCAAATGCCATTTGTAGACTGCAGTCACCTATCATGAACCAACAATTTATAATCGGCCTTATTAATTCACAAATTTAAAATTAATAAGGATATAACTGATAAAGATCTTTACATTAGAATAAAGATCATTATTATTGTAAGCTTCACTTTTTTTCGGATTTATTTGAATCCTGACTTTCAATTCGCTTGATTATATTTTCAAAGAACTATGATTAATTGGATAGAAACAGCCAATCAATATTTTTCAAATAACAGTAATAGTAGGAATAAAATCAATAGATAAATTCAGCACCAAAAGAAAACTACATACAATTCTACGTTTAATACGCCAAAAATTCTTGACCAACTTAATCCTATCTTTTGCCAATTCAACACCCAAACCTTTTAAATCTTGAGAATTCATCTCCAAAATATCTTCAAATTTTTTATTTTTAAATAATGGAGTTAATCGTTTCATTCTAATTAAGTCCAAGTATGCAGGAAAATCTAAATAAGGAATAAGAATGTTTAATTGTAAATGATTTTAACAAATCAATTCAAATTTTATAATTTTACATACCTTCTAAAACTTCTTTCCCATATAATTGTTTCCAATCCCTGACAAAATTTTTTTTCGGTATAGGCAATCCAAACTTTATTGCCTAAAAAATCATAATTAATATTACAATCGATTTATTTCTAAAAGTGTATCTTCTAAATACAGTCTTTATTGTCGTTAAAACTTAAAAGAGTCCTTTCTCAAAGTGTAATTTTAAAATACAACACTAAAGAGGAGTTGATTAAATAAATTAAAATTTAAAAAAATTTACATGGTCAACTTGAATAACCCAAAAATGCGCTCCTAATGTTGATCTCGTTAGATGGTCAGTAATTCCCAACTTTTCTAAATCCTCATCACTCATTTTTATAATATCTTGCCATTTCTTTCCTTTAAAATAATGTGTTAGGTTTTGCATATGTAATCCTTTAAGCCATTTTGGAAAATCTAAAATAAAAAAAAAGATAATTAAAATATATGTTATATTGTATTAATGATTAAAAAATTTTATGGAAATACCTTCTAATAATTCATAATTAACACGATTGTATATATTTTCTTTTTGAAATTTGATTCGATTATCAATAATTTTTTCTGCTGAAATGACATTTATATGATGTTCTTGTGTATTCGATTTATCATTATTGTTACTCGTATTTTTAGTAATACTTTTGGTCGTAAGATTTCGATTAACTATTAATGATTTAATTAATGGTAATTGGTTATTTTACGTTATTTACTTATTAACTTATTAATGTTTAACAATCAAATATAGATTTACAATAGTTAATATTTATAATATTTAAATTTATTACGGTTCTTGACGACAAGGCGAGAAGTAATGATGCCATCTATATTTTCACTAACGTAACGCTAAGATTATCATTTTTATGTATGCTGTCGTGTAACCCATGTCACGGATCAAATACGTGCGTATGTGCAATACGTAAGTCTATTTTTTCTCGACAGAAAGCTACTCGAAGTTATGTATGAATTAAGATGGAGCTAAATTTGAAAGAGAGGTTTTCCGTATATTTGTATCGTTTTCCGTCTTTAAATGACAGTGGCTAGTAAAGTACTTGCTAGTTACCGGATGGTAATTAAGCATTTGTCCCTGCGATCTTGTCATTTCTAAACTCTACAATTATTTCATTCCGTTAAATGTTACTTTGGTAAAAGTAAGTGGTCTTATTATTATTCTTTGTTAAAGGTTATAAGTGAAAGATATGTAAACTATACTACTTAACTGATCTCTTTTCCTTTTCTTTTGTTTATTCTACCATGAACCTAAAATATTATGCTTTCATTTATCATTTTTGCGGTCGACATTTGTGGATAACTTATAACAAGAAATTGATATAATCAAAATTCTAGTTTTCTCTATTGGTCGTAATTTGAGTTATACATAATCATGAATTTAAAGATAATAAGGCGAGTTTAATTTGCTGGGATTATAAGTTTTTTTTTTTCAAATCTTGTTCGAAACCTCTGCAGGCATTCTATAATTGATGACTTGCCGTAAGGCCGGACATAGAACAATCAAAAATCTTTGCGAATTTCAATTAGTAGAGATTTGGTCTAGTTAATTGATCAATAATTCTTAGAGTTAGAGTTTTTTGGTTAAGGCGTAGACCTACAATCATTTTAGAACAAAATCTCAATATTCTTTTTTTTTCCAATATATTTAGGTACTTTCGAATTTATTCTCTGAATATCTTCCGAAACAATGAAAAAAAGAATGCTTTGTTGCTTGAGCTTTGATTGGTTAAAGTTACTGATCAAAGGCGGATTTTCTACAAAAGCTAGATCAAAATTGCATTTCGCATTGTACAAGCAATGCAAAATTTGCTAAAAATTCTAAAGATTTGGATTTTAAGCGAGGATGGATGCAAACATTTTCAATGTATACCAATATTAACATATTTTTTTGTGAATAATACTTAGAGATTTACCAACCTTTCAAGATCTGATTCAATGGAAGGATTGTTGCTCTCAATGAAAATTTTCATATGTTACGTATTATTTTCAATTTCACTGATCAGAAAAATAATGCAGGTAAATATATACTTTTTATTTCATTTTTTTTTGTAACTAGCCACAGTATAAGACGTAACAGTTTCTACTGCATCTCTAATCTGGAGATTAATGTCAAGAGCAAAGTTTATCGGTCGCTATGTGATATGAAAAAATATTTAGATTCTTTTCTGGTTATTTTTTGAAAATTCAGGTATTATATACACTTGCCGGGCAAATTCTAAACAATTACTATTTATTAATATATATATATATATATATATATGAGTGCGTGAGAGTGAAAACCTGGAAACCGATCATAGTAAATCAATAAATCGGTTTCCAGGTTTTCACTCTCACGCACTCATATATACTCCATATAATTATGAGCAGTGATGTCAATTTTATCGGCCAAACCAAATTTTTTTGGCTGTTTCGGCTAATGGCCGGCCAAAAAGACATATAAACTTAGTTGAATTTGCCGTTTTTTTGGCCGGCCAAAATTTTATTTGGCCGACAAAATTACCATCACTGATTATGAGATAAAGATTATTAGGTTGTCCAGAGTTTGGTGCTTTGAGAGTAAACAAGTCCAATCACAATAATTTGGTATTGGAACGGTAAATATAGTCTAGTCGACTCAAGATTTTGCAATCTGTTTAGTAAAGTTGCAAAGATTTATTAATAGGGCTGAAGATGCTGAAAAATACTTATTTAAGATGTATCTTTCTAATAAAAAAACGAATAAATAAAATACAGCAAAATTAAAAACGAATAAATAACATACAGTAAAATTAAAATGGTGGCTTGATAGATCTCATCAAAAGCAATCATTATATTTCTTTTAAATATATGGGTAAAAAATTTGTAACTGTATTTATTGATTACTATGATAGTTTTATAGATTTCCTACACTACAACGCTCATGTATCCTTCAGCTATATTTTGATAGTGAGAATAAAATATTCAACCTATTATTCTGTTATCTTGTCTAAATTGGAATGCATATTTCAGGCCGGCCTGGTCCGTTCGGAGCACCAAAAAAGATAACGTAATTGCTAGTATGGAGATAAAACCAACCATTCGAATGAAAGGATACAGTATTTAAAATAAAAGTAGTTTAAAGCTAAAATTAGATTTTAGCATTAGGGACTAAGTTAATCACCTCACGTGTATGTCAAAACCAAATAAAAAATTGATTTTTCTATTAATCATGGAATTATACATGGCGTAGACACTATTTCGGCATTAATTTTTGATATGAAATGTTTGAGTTGTTTCTGAAATAACTCAACATTTCATACCAAAAATCAATGCCGAAATAGTTTCTACGACATGTATAGTTGGAATTCAAGAAAATGATTCAATTGATATATTAAAGACAATTTTTTGAATCATTTTTAAATAAACGTAATAGTAATAATATATCAAATTTTAAAATTTTTATGTAAGTATATAAAAAATCACTTTTAGTATTTTTGCCGATAGAACAAAAAATGCACACGATGAAATAAAGAAACTAATTAGAGAAAAATCCATCCACTAAACTTTCGTTCTTACACTCGCTCTCTACCAAACGTTTACCATTTTCTTTATCAGTTGACCATTTAATCAATGTGGGAATTCTTTCAAGTCGAATTTTTTGATGAGTCTTGTACGGACTATTTGCATATCTTTTTGAAATGTTGATATTAAAAAAAGGAAGGAAAAGGAGAAATATTGCATTCAGTCAAAAGGAATCGTAACATACTCAGCTCTTGTACCAACAGAAGCCTCAACAAGCACAGAATCGGATTTTTTGTTGAAACATTTCTGGATTATAGGGTTAGCTTCTACACAATCAGGACACCAACTTCCTATAGACACAATACTTTAATTTTTTTTTTGCTTTTTAATACATTTCATGACTACAATATTTTTTATTAGTAAAGCATATAAATAATGGAATTTACGCTTCAATAAAATCTTTAATTTTATTAATAATTTTATTTATTTACTATATATATAGTATATTATTGTTTTTTTTTTATTTTTTTAATTTTTTAATTTTTGCCCAATTTCACTTTTTAAAAGAGTTCAATTTTAGGATTGATTTTTTTTTAACCTGAAGTTTCTTTTGAAAGATTTAAATTATATTACGAGTGTAGTCAGTTAAATTATGTAAAAGTTATTAATAGAAACTCATGACTTTATTGAAGCGTAAATTTTTATTATTTAAAGTCATTGTAGGCATGTGTATAGGCTTGAAGGAAAATCTATCTTACCATAAAACAACACATAAATTTTTTTATTTTCACATTCTTTTACGATATTATTAATTTCTTCATCAAAATTGTTAGGATTCGAAATCGAAATTTTTTGGTCCATCGTTGTTGTTTTCGTCAGTCGTTTACAATGCTCAACCGTTATATACGAATATGTTGTGCCTCAGATTAACCTTGAAGTTAAGGATTAGGCCATAAATACGTAAGCATTATGCTGCTGACATCTGACGCAAGTGTTAATCTGAGGTACAACATATACATGTCGCATTACTATTGGTCAAAAGTCCGGAATATATTTATATTGTAGACTAATTTTTATAGCGTTATTCTTTTTTCTGTTTTATTTTCCTTCCTTTTTTCTAGATTTACACGCGTAATTAGTGAACGAATCGATTGGACTAACTAGCATGTCAGATGACCAACTAATAATTACTGTACGTAGTTGATTGAGCAGAGTCAATGATTACTCTTGAATCTTGGCCACAAAAAAAAAAAAATAGTATAAGACAATATATAATACCTTCAGTTAAAATGATTAATTAGTTTAAACAAATTGGTTGATCAATTGATAGCCCCTGTTAATAGGTTGCGCTATCTTTTCGAACTTTGAATATAACCATTCCTAGAATTTTTAGCACAATTACGTTGCACATCTATCTTACTTATTTTTAACGTACGTATGTACAGTACGTCAAAATTTTGTGGTATAAGTTAAGGTGGAGTCTTATTTATACGTAAAGTTTCTTATCTATAGTATATAAATTTGCCATCAGAAATTACATATAAATTTAACACCCGAACAAAAAAATTTTGCAAAGAAATTGAGCTAAAGCATTCTCGTTAAGATGTTGTGAGCAACTTATCATAAGATAGACAAATAATAAACCGCTTGATGATTTTAAATAAAACGCAGGCGCATTAAAAACAAATCGTAGAGTATATAATATCAATTAGGAAAAACTTTCGAGGAAATGAATAAATGAAATAAATTTTAGCAAAAACATGAATTTTCAGCAGAAACCACTTGATCAAATTATAGAACTTCCTATACCAGGAGTGAGAAAGATACGAGGAATCGCTTGTTGATTTAAATGAATCAATCAAAATAGTTCATTAACGATCAAAAAAATAATGCAATTGT